TGATGATGATGTAAATTCGAACTCTTTCTTGTTTTTTTTCTTTTCTCTGTTTTATGCATGCTATTCTTTATAACGGCTAGTAAAAGAAAAAAGAAGAAAAAAAAATGGTAAAAGAAAAAGACGAAATGAGAATAAAAGAAATTGAGTTACTCTAACAACAATAATAACATCAACAGTAATAGACAAAATATGAGAGTAAATAGAATATCTTTTTATACGCAAGTTATTTAATCAAAACTTTTAATGCATAATATACATAAAATATTATGTCAAGTTAATTGACGCTCTTCTCGTTTACTTATTCATATTGACTGACATTTTATATGTTTTTTTTTTTGAAAAGAAACGTCTTTTTTTTTCTGCTATTGACAAATATAAAAATACAGCCGATCTTTTTCTTTTAAGCAATCATAATTAAGTTTGACTATATTATATTATAAATCGAAATAATATTTGAAAAAGAAGAAAAACATTAATTTACACATTTTTTTGTAAAAAAAAATGTTAAAACTTGATAATTAAAAATATTGTAAATCGAGGAAATGAGCCGATTTACTATTTTTTTTCGGAAAAAAAATTAGAGAATGTTAGGTGTAAAAAATATTTAAAGTCAATTTTTTTTCTTTATCGGTTGTTGAATAAATATTATTCCCTAGACAAAATTACTATCGTTTTATGAACGTGAGAACCAAATAAAACTATTTTGTTAAATAACAAGTCGATTTATAATAAGAGAAAATACTAAATATTTATAATGTTTAAAAGATTCATTTAGAACTATTTCACGAAGATAAACAAGAAGAATACTTTATCTTTCGACTAATGTGCAATATAGAATATTGTTCAAGGACAGTTTGATTACCTGGATATCTTTCCATAAAGCTACTACTTGGTGTTGATTGAAACAGAATCCTAGCCTGTCACCAAATCCTTCCACTCAAACACTTGACCTCATCGTACATACTGACAAGCCACAAGGATCAGTGCATGTCATAGTGTAACTAATCTGATATCGAATAAATGGTCGGAGACGAACACCCAATGTTGCCTTGTTCAAAATTATTCTTTGCTGGTAGCAACGAGCTTAGAATACAGTACCTTGGTATTATGCGCTGAACATCTTAATCACTTAGCTACAGTGATCACTATGGAGACAATGACCAATATGAATAATTTAAATTTGAAAAATGACGCAAAGATAATTCGATATGTTTTGAAACGATTTAAAAGGTCATCGACCTTGATTTCCATAACGGCAAACTGTTTGAAAGTTTAGTAGATTAGTGCACCAATTTACTATTAGATAATCACCATGTTTGAGGTGGGTAACTTCTTCTATGACTAAGAAACTATAATAACATTGTCAAAACGTCTTTTATCAATTGGTCAATATTTCACATGGATAAAATGCGATACAAAAATGCTGCAATAAGTGTTGATTTCAATGTATCTTTAATAAATACTGACTGAAACAAAAAATTCTTTCTTTACGAACATATTTTTGTTTCTGTGCACCTCGTTCGATAAGACATGAGTAATAGCAAATGTACAAAATTTATTCGAACTATATTAGTAAAACAAATAGTTGAGGGGTTAGCTAATTTACAAAATGTAATTTATCAAGATAATCCAAATTCTAAACAAAATGTGTGCATGGTTTCGGATTATATTTAACATGATGTTTTTGTTAATCGAATTGTTTCAGAAAATGGTACTTTGTAATTGATCGACATTTTTTTGTGTTTAGAAAACATTTCAGGTGTATTCAAAAAATATTTCCAGAACTACAATATGTTGATATTGCACAAATAATAAAAGCGATGAAAGAAGTTTAGTGCTTTTTTCATGTCAATTAACTGATACGATTAAAATTAGTAATAGATCAGGATAATAATTATATACATGAGCGTTGATAAAGTTTTGTTTTTTGAAAATTTCGTTCAGTTTTATAAAATAATCGACGAAGATGCTAAAAACTGATTAAATAAAACATGATAATCTTATTACATTTTCTTAGTCTTAGTAGAATTTATCAGTTCCAAATATTGTAGTTATCTACGTATTGTTGTGAGATGTAGGTGTGAGTGAGAATGTGGTCTGCGTGTTAGTGAAGAGAAGATCAACAACCACACTTGCACTGTTTATCAAGAACAAAGACTGTGCGATGTTAACTTAGAATAGCGGGAAAAAAAACAAAGCTCGCATCTTTTTTTTCAACAACTTTGTGTTTAGCAGCATCGATTTTGATGTCTCTTTTGTCTTTTCCGATGGTACACTAGATGATCCTAACTTGGTAGGAATATTATTCCAGATGGATAATAATTCGAGTATATCTTCGACTCTATGTGCTTCATGAAAGAATATTAGACAGTACTCGACTTCAGAAAAAAAGATTCTTTTCTCGACAGATGGCATCTTTCGAATTGATTTAATGAAACAAATTCAAGATCAACTTCGAAAAGTGCAGTTAATATTGACTGACGATGATGCTCAAGGACTACGAAATTTAGCTGAATATGTACAAATGGAGATTGAAACTGGGTATGGATGTATAACCATGATTGATGAATTCAATAAAATGATCGAAATATAGAATACTTTTCTCAAGACAGCACTAGATCGTGACGTGGAAGAAATTATTAAGTCTCTCACTACTAATTATAATAATCTTGCTGTAGCCTATGACGGAAAAGAAAACATTTCGATTGCCTTATCACATGATGAGAAAATACTAAAAATTGAAGAGAATTCTCCTCCAGAAAATCATCCATTTTTTTTGTATTACCTACAACAACAACATCGCTGCAACACACCAGTCAATGAGCAGTTATCAGATGGATATCAGGTATTGGTTTGATAATGTGGCGTACGGGCGGCTCTTCACCTAGCATTTAGACTCATGCGCATATATACACCTATTGACTCTTCATACGACAGTTGTCATGAAATGCAACTGTCTCAAAGAAATGTGAACATGTAATTTATTGACATCAGCGAATGTTGATTGCTGTCCTCATGTTCTTGAGTTGCAATCGAACAAACAAATATATTATGACGAAATTGGAAGAAAACTTTCCGATTATTTTCAATGCACTCGATAGAACAATGATTAATTCAAAAAAGACTATTCAGTGTTGAGCAAGACTCTCGCAGACAAAAATTGATGTTTAATAATCACAATGAGCGGCCAACCACGTCTATCATTGAACAGACTCCATCCAATGCTCGCAGATAAAACGAAAACGATGTAATATCTTTGTGGTTTTTTTTGTAGACAAACGTACCATCTCACGATAAAATCCCTATGAATGGACTCTTTTCGTATTTTTCCTTCGAAATGGAGTCAATGGGTTCCAGCTACTCCTTTCTAATCCAGTCTTTTTATAAACAAAAACTGATCTCCAATGATACTGCTCACTTTTTGATTAAGACATAGTTGACATGAATTATACTTTTAATTTTGGGAAAAAACTTATATGTAAAGAACTTGAATGTTCTAATATGTCTTGTTTGTTTCTTCACAATTTTTTGAGTACATATATGGAGTTGGTAGTAGGGGTACGCAAGCTCAGCTCAAGCTCACAAATAATGAGCCGTTGAAAACGCTCACTGAAACGAACTCAACTATTCGAACAGTTCATTTGAGCGAACTGACCTTTCTCAAACAGCTCATCTCACATGAGCTGAACTGTTAGAACAGCTCATTTGAACGAACCGAGCTTTTGAAACAGCTCATTTCAAATGAGCCGAGCTCTTCGAACGGCTCATTCGAACGAACCTAACTATTTCTAGGGGTACTCATAGGTTCTCGAGGGCTGCCCTATAGGGTGCCATAGGTCCTCAAGTTCTATTACTGGGGGATACCATTTGGTCCTCAAGTCCTATTATTGGGGGATGCCCTTGGGTCCTCAAGTCCTATTATTGGAGGTACCCTTGGGTCCTCAAGGACAAATGCCAAAGCTGTATTTTCGCTGTGTTTCACTGGGTAGGAGCCCATACATATACCCATGAATCGATAGGGCATCCTCGATAACCCTATGACTGGCCCGAATATGGCTATGTGTTGCCCTTACAATAAGAGAAAAAACGGCTTCTGAAATCTGATTGGTCTATTTTTGGACCAATCATATGGTAGGATCCTATTTCTCAGTGATGGGACGGGTGGGCACCCCTACATATACCCATCAATCGATAGAGCACCCTCGATAACTCTATGATTGACCCGAACATGCCCATCACTTGCCCTCACAATAAAGAGAAAAAAATTTGAACCCACTCGGGTACCTTCCAGTAGTAAGACTTGAGAACCCAAGAGTACCCCCAATAGTAGGACTTGAGGACCCAAGGGTATCGCCCTACAGTAGGACTTGAGGACCTATGCGACCCGTATAGGGTAGCCCTGGAGGACCTATGGGTACCTCTACAGGGTAGCCCTTGAAGACTAATGGGTACCCCTACAAAAAGTTCGGTTCGCTCAAATGAGCTGTTCGAACAGTTCTTTCGCTCATTTGAACGGAGTTCGTAAGCTGAGCTTGCGTATCCCTACATATGCTAAAATTATAAGTAGCGTAGCAAGAAAAAAAATGATATGTTTGTTCCACTTTTAGTATATAGTGTTTTAAATTTTACTGGATATTTAACTCCAGATAAAGTCAACTTTTTATAAAATATATCAGCTCAATCTGGTTTCATTTTCTGATGCGTTCAATTAAACAGATCCTTCCACTCACAAGCAATGAAAACAAGCGATATTTCCTTGATAAACGAATTTTGAGTGTTGCCATCATCAGTAGTTTCGTGTTGATTAGCACATGTATTTAATCGCTGAGATAGCGATAACGATGGATCGGGATATACAGTTAAATTGTTTCTTTCTAAGACAGAAATGTCTTCTTTTCCATCGATATCACCATCGTCTCCATCATGAGTGGTGTCCAACCAGAAAAACTTCACCATTTTGTATAGCTCCTTTACATTTATTGCTCTAAAAGTCTACATTTATGGTCTTAAGGATAAAATTAGGTAAAATTAAGCAAAAAATAATCATATTACTGTGTATTAAACAGCAGAAACCATAAAATGTGGGGAATGATAAACATAAATGTAGAGTTAGGCAATCATAAATGGTGACACTTCGATCAAAAATGTAGAGAAAATCATGATTTTTCACTATAAAACCCATGCCATAACATCTTAGAACATACCCGAGGTTTCTTAAAAATTCTCTACATTTATGCTGTTTCTTTATATTTATGGTCTCAAACACACCATTTATGTTCTCTAAAATCAACATTTATGCTTCGCATCTCAAGTAAAACCTCACTTGAATTAAGATATACACTCGTGGGCAAAAATCTTTCCTCCTTCATTCGTTTTTCATAAAGAATTTCTTTGGTCTCAGGTGAAGGCTAGTTACAAGGATGGCTTAAGTACTTTATCGTAGCATAGTGTATAATTGATGGCGTTTTGCTTCAATGAAGAATATACGTCTTTCAATATAATTGAGCAACACTACAAATGAGTTGGTTGACAAAATGTTTCGAGAGTGGACTATCTCTTTTTTTGTATCTGCTAACTGTTTTACTAGTTTGAATCATTAAACTCTTTTTGTTGCCGACCCGAAGCTCTCTCAAAAAATGCAGTATTGTCAATTACTACAAATACAGATTAAGTAAAGTCGGTAAAACATTCATAAACTATCAATAAAAGAGATAACCCAGCCATGAAGTACTCTATCCAGCAACTCATTTGTAATGTTGGTCGCTGGCATTGAATGACGTACATTCTTCATTGCCGTAGGTGGTAATCAATCATAAACTACAGTAAAATAGTATTTAAGTCATTTTTGTAACCAACATTTACTTGACACATACGAGTTCGACATGAAAACAAATGAGAGAGAGAAAATACATTTGCCCAGGAGGTGTATTTAAAGAAAACAAACAATGCACAAATCTGTCAGATTAAATTTTATCGTTACTAAATTAGACACACTATCAAAAAAGTGACTTTCATGGGATGTTGTCTTAAAGCTACAAATGCTAGTCTGCTAGCTAAGTCTTGGTCGATGAGAGTAATTTGTTAGAAATTCGTTTTCATTGTTTCGAAATCTATCGCAAAAATCAACAGAGAAGACTTATACATACTGTTTAACAAGTTGATACTATGTAGCATTTCTGATCTACGTTATACTTCAAATTTAAGTGCGATGCAGAAACATATTTACTGAAACTTGTTTTCATTTCATGTGTATCCTGTATAATGCTTAGCGTTGACCAAAAATCCTAAGCCCAGTGTTTAACGGACCTTGTCGGATAAGGTAACCTATTCAGAAATGAAAAATCAAATATCTGATGTTATAGAGCTTTTTAAGGCATGTCGAACGGTATATAGTAAATCCTGTTTTCATAAGACTTTAAAGGAACTAGAGTCAATTTACTGATAGACGACTACATACCCACACCCACCCATACTCACACTGACAAGATGAATGGAGACGCAAAGTATACGAGGTGGTAGCCCGTCAAAAACTCTACAAAATCGTATGTGAGAAAAAATATTTTACAAATACTCTCAACTAACACCAAGGACCAGAATATTCAGAAACCTATCATGCTTTGGTGTGGCTGTGTAATCGTCTATCAGTAAATTGACTCTACTCCCTTGAAAGTCTTATGAAAACAGGATTTACTATATACCATTCGACACGCCTCAAAAACCTCTGCAACATCGAATATTGGATTTTTCATTTCTGAATAGGTTACCTTATTGGACAAGGTCCTTTAAACACCGGGCTTAGAATTTTTGGTCAACTCTAAGTATTATTTGATTTATAAATTATTTGACAATAATTTTACTATTGAATATTGTGAGTAATTGCGATAATGTTTGTACAGTAATTATTAATTGATCAGAATAAATACGAGTATAATAGAGTTAAGATTCGTATTTCAACAAAAAAAAATAAAAAATAAAAGTTGCAATTAGATTAGTCACTCAGTCAGATAAATAAATATTCCATAGTGTTCAGATAGACAACTATCGTGGGAAATTAGGCGGTTTTTGAGGCCGAGGTCCAGCCGGAAATTGAGGTGGCATCGGTGGAGCCGGTCCTAAGGGCTCAGATGAGCCTACAGAGGTAGTTGTTGAATCTTCACGACGGCTCAATAGAGATCTATTGTCTGATTGAGTAGAATCATGTTTTTTACTTGACGATCCTAGAAGAGGATAATCGGATTCAATTTCTTTTACTTGAATTATATGAAGATCATTGCCCGAATCGAGACGCGAGACCACTTTAAATTTTCGAGCAGCGATAAGTAATATTTCATCTTCTGTTGGAAAGAATGAATGTTGTTGAATATCCTTTTCAGAATCACAATCAATATTAAATAGAGTTCTGCTGCCTGTCTTTCCAAGAAATTGTTCGGATTGAAGTACTTCTATTGAAGCAGTACATGATGAAAAAGCCCACCAAACAAATGTTTTTCCTATTGGATATTGAGCACTTAAGTCCATTTTTACTCCTCGATAAATAGTTTTAGAAATTGATGGTAATTTTTCAAATGCAGTAACAAGTAATTTTAAATAAAGATGCCATGGTTTAAGTTTTTCTTCATCTTCGGCTCGCAGAGTATTGTTGAGAATAACATAGAATGATCTTTCTCTTGGTTCCCATTCCAGAGAATAGAGCATAATTGAAGCAGATTCATCAATTGTTAAATCATCTTTTGGTCCATTACATTTCTGTTTCGCTTTGGACACCATTATTTTGACATCAGGAACAAGTGAAACAAGTGGATCTACACTTGCTTCGATCGAAACGTTTGATACAGTTTCGAAGTGTACAATAGGCTTTCTCGGAATTTCAGATGGGGTAAAATTCTCAAGAACTCGAAGGGCATGTTGTGGTGCAAATCTTTTTAAGTTCTTATGAGCCATATCGAGAACAATTTGTACTTGCTAAATGATCGTGAGATTCCTACAAGATTTTCAACAAAAATGCACGCGAATATATATACTTTCTATTGCATCGTATATATTATATTAGATCATTCCTGGCTTCTCCCACGAATATCATAGACAGAAAAGTCACACTCGTACATGCAAATTTTAACAAAAAATCATGTCAACGTGTGTCATCCTAATTGGTAGAACAACTCAATATGTCGATTGTTATGAGAGAATAAAAATGTCAAAGGATAAAAAAATCTTTCCACTTTAACAGTCAATTGGATACCAAAATATTGAAATTCAATCTTCACTCGTCTTATATGGAGTAAAGTTTTTCTATTAGATTTGTTTCTTGGATCTTTAAGTGTATAAACATTGTCAATTGTCAATTTGTTTTTCAAAGATTATCTATGATATATTCTACAAACTTTGTTTGAGAAATCGTTCAACTGAATGTGATGCAATTGTTAAACGCATAAAACATTTCCAATAAACACAAAAAAAATCTCTTCGGCATTATTTTAGAAAGTTTCATTTGTTATTTCTCTTCTCTAGCAAAAAATAACTTCAAATTCAATTGTATATAGAAATAACTGATTTAAGATTTTATTGATTGTATCATTGTCGAGAAAAAAAAACAGAAATTTCATTTGCTTAGAAATAATCCGAAATTTGTCAATACTTATCAAAATCGCTCATTTAAAGATTTCTCGAGAACCAATGAACCGAACATTCCGAAACACAGAGCGGACAGATCTCGAATAGTAGAGTAAAAATTGCCGCAGACCAAAGTTTCTATAATACTTCTTGCTATGAGATATAGAGATCATTAGGGTCAAAAAATGACCTAATTTTCACCTGCTTCCATTATCTGTCTACTAGATCCGATCGAGCTAAGGTTTTCTTGATATGTGCCCTCTCAAACTGTTTGGGAAGAATGGTTTTGGTTTCTTTTTATCTTTTTTCCTTCAAGAAAAATGTCAGAATACGGATGGTACCCTAAAAAGCGTTTGTTTTTTTTCTATATGGCATTTTATGAGAGAGATCTACCAAAAAATCAGGGAAGCAATGTTTTTTTTAAATAAAAAATTACTTGCTAAAAACAATTTCTAGTGCCTGGGTTCGAATTTTCAATTTGATCGAAGCATTTATGTTGATGAAATAGACACAATTCTACGCTTTTTTTTACAGAAAACTCGGCTTCACAAAAAAAAAGGTGCAACTATGTGAAAATTTTCGTTCTCCTCGAAGTTTTGTATGATCAAAGACAGAATTCTAATTCCAAAATCTGTCCTATGGATGAAGACTGATTTAAACTATATTGTGATCAAAAAAAAAACTTAAAAAAGACAAAGTCGATAATTTCCGGTCGTAAAAGAGAAGTACTCTTGAAATAAGAATATTTTAACACAATCTTATAGAGAATCAACTCAACTTTCTAATACATATGAAAATAATTGAAAATTTTATTTAAATACAATTAAAAATTTGAAAATCCTTCATAACTTCGGGAATTTTAAGTTCAAATCAATTAGATATACGTAACATAAAATTTAGTATGTTTAACTGCAGTACTACAATAACAAAATTTGTAGAAGGCGTCATAAATTATCCTTTTAAAAAGAAATTGTATTTTACAATGCTTTGACATTGAAATACAGAAAAATAAAATCAATACAAACCTATATTGCTTATGCTTAAGAAGAGAAAGAACGATCAATAACTACTTAGGTTTCATTATCTCTATTCGTTTTGTTTACGCTTGTAGGAAAGAAAAAACACATAATAAAAAGAATAATTGTACCCATTTTTTTTTGTGTCAAAACATGTTTTCTGATTATATAGGCAGTTTTGTTATACTATGATATTTTCAAGGATATTCCACGTACATTTGAAACTAAAACATCGCTTAATGATCGAGTTTTTATTGAAATAACCAATAACCTATGAATAATAATTTCGACGGTATACTAATACCATTCTTGACTATATCAGCAATTGTAGTCAAAGAAATATACTGTTCATAATTTTACTACATTATTGAATAGTATTAATGATTGAATATTATTATCAGATTCAAAGTATATGATACTTCTTTGCTTCCAAGATACCTCGAAAACCTAATTATTTAACAATCAGTGGTTTTTATTATATGAAATACGACAGCGACATGTTTTGATTTGTTAAGAACGATCAAGCAGTATTTGTATTCTTTTGGATCCAGTTTGCAATTCAACTATATTGATTTTTTTTATAAACATCTCTAAATTTATTAAGATAAAGGCAAACGATCATATACAGTGTAGTAATGAATGTTTTTAAAGATAATAACAAGTTAAGAATAGTGAACTTCGAAAGAACAACAAATGTAATAGTCGAATATGAATTGAATTATTGAAATACTTTTTCAAGTAGTCTGCTATCGAGTTGAGATTTTATCATAATATAAAATAAAAGATAAACTTCATTGTGTCGACATAAAGCATATTTATATTTGGTAAGCCAGTTAATGTCAAATTGAATCATATGAAATTTCAAAATGTCATTCACTTATTCGTTTATATCTTAAGTGTTATGTATTATATATATATATATATATGTGTATGCAATTCAGAGCATCCGCTGGAAGGTGTATGTTAATTTATTATATGAAAAATAATATTAACTTTGGTTTCTTTTGAAATTAATCTAGTTGAATAAGTGAATGAAAATGACTATTATATACTTTGCATCAGTTTCATTTCATTTTCATTTTAATATAATGATTGTATGAAGAATGTTGAGTTGAAGATCGCAGTAGAACGCTATATATCTTCAACAGATTTAATCTTCTTTTACTTTGTCTTTGAAGGTCAATAGAAATCTTGCAAACGACATTTATCTTTTCAGTTATTCAATATTATTCGTTTGCACATATAGATAATCAGAAATAGTCGATTTTATATGTTGTTGTTGTTATTATTATTTTTTTTTCAAGGGCAATCTTGATATTTCGATGAACAATGTATTTTAGGAGAAAATTCTCGAAAGCTTACCTCTAGTAATCGAATGTGTATTTGTCAATATTTCATTTACAATTTGTCTCATGCCTTAAGTTACATGCTACATACTTATTCAATCATGAACTCTCAATTACTCTTTCAGCAAAACATCAGTGTTCGTCTCTCTATGACAAACTTATAACTGCCTGACAATATCGAAATCTGCAAGCAGAGATGGCAACAAAAACAAATTCATCGCAAGCATTAATCATTCAGATAAATGTTATGGTTCTCATCAATCGTTTCAAAGGCATGTAAACTTAGTAGGATTGTTTTCCAAACATAATATTCTTATGTAAAATTTCTTATAGAAATATTTCTGCCAGCATCATTCATTGGACAAACATCAATTGCTTAAATGGCTAAGATTGAAGATAAAAATTGATTTCATAAACGATGATATGACATTTTTTGCCTATTAAATTTTTGACTCTTTTTTAAGTATTGTCATTATTTGACTGAATTACAAATACTATTTACGCGTTTCAACCTGGACTGAATAACAATCCATTATTATTATTATTATGTAATGAGAATTTCTTCTCCACGAATAAAATAAGAAAGATTCTATTTTATGTATATGAAAAGCTCTATACAACTGATAAACGAAATTTGATTGAACAAATCAAATTTTCAAATGATCCTGAGACTTCAACTAGTAATAGAAGCATTTTTATTGGCATTCATAAATCACTATCAGCAGCAACATACTAGAGATCGGGTGATGATAAACACTATTAACAACTTGACATTCAATATTAACATTAACTGACTTCTTTCACTTTTATTACAAATATTGCATTCATTTTGAACAGAAGAAATTGGTAGTGTATATTGTAAATATAGTTTATGGATATTATAACCAGTCCATATGACAAGTCTATAAATTTTCTTTATAATGATTGAGATATAAATATAGATTGTTGAAAAAGAATCATCACTTGTTGTCTGATGCAACTTTTATACTTGTAATTTTATTTTTTACTCAAAACGAATATATCATGATATTCAGTGTATTTCATACTTATCTTGTTATATACATTATGTGTAAAAATAAAAGAAGTATAGAAACAAAAAATATTAAAAAAAAATTAGTATGAGCTTTCAATTGTTCTTCACTGTATCATTTAATGTGAACATTTTTATGAATATTCAAAATTAGGATTGAATTTGTTTCCTTGAATAAATCACACTCTCATAATCGGATCATTACTATAATTTAATTTGATAGATCGATTTTGATAAAATAACAATGATGATCTATATGAATAGAAATCGAATAATAACAATAATAATAATAATAAGCGAACAAAATTGAAGATTACTGTTGTTTTATTTCGGAATTAGTTTGATGTGACATTGTTAAATTATTCAGTAAAATTGTCATATCTTTTTTATCGCTATTTTTATCTCGTGGTTTCAATATATGACAATGAATGTCTTGGTGATTAAAAAGAAATGAATAATAGATGAGTAAACGAGAAAAATAAAAGAAATTCTACCTGTAATAATTGATGTATGAAATTGTGTCAGTAGAAGAAAGCAGTTTTGAATGAAAAGATCAACTTCTATAGTTGTATAAGGTGGAAAAATAAGAACTGAAAAATAAGGAATATAATAGACGAGAAAATATAGAAAAGGAAATTTACAATAAACATTGATTCGATGCAATGTTTCCATCATGTTTGAATACAATAATGGAACAGATTTCAAATGATTCATCAACTCAATTAAAATTGTTTTTGATAATTCAATTTGATCCATTTTTGAAATTGTTCCAGCAATACGCCAACTGTTAATATATAACAAAATATAATATATGTATCTATTACTAAGTTATTTAAGTAAGTAATAGATAATTTTAATTTGATCTATCGAAAAAAGTTCATGATTTTGAAACGAAGTAGGAAATAATTTTAACCGTTAGGACCTGATAGGAGGCCATGTCTAGATTACGAATAAGTCTTGAAAAGGCTTAGAATATTCAAAGAAGATTAATTTTTTTCAATAGTATTGTGAAAAGATCGAAACCTAATATCATGTAACTAGTGATAATTTTGAACAATACATATGAAATATGTCTCTTTCAAATAAAAATAAAAAACTTCATCAAATATGATCAAGAAACAGTAGTGATATGTATTTGTTTTCGAAAGTTATTTCTAGGACATTCTATCGATCAGATTTCATAAACATTTCAAATATCCATTCACGAAAATGAATCAATTTAGAAGTTTTCTCAGCCTTATAAAAAAAAACTATATGAAGCCGAATGTTATTCTACAACAGATGAGGTTTTCTATTCAAGTTCTATTGCATTTAATTTGTTCGATGAAAGATATATTCATATTTCTTCAAAACCGTCAGTTGAAGTGGTTTCCGCAAGTTTATCAATTTTCTACTGATTTTTCTATTAAATAAATGTCATATGTTATCAAAAAGTCGATTTAAATATGTCACAACAGATCATACAATGTATGCATTACAATTTTCTATTTTGGCTCATTCTTCTCACTAATAGTTATCTTTGTGACGTTATCTTAAATAAATAACAAAACTAGTAAACTAACCGAAAGCAACCGATGAGCTTGAGAGCTCTCAAAGTTATAATAATGAAGTAAGATTTCTACACTTACTCTGTCAAGTGGACATCATCCGAATAGATACATTTGTAAAAATTGATATCAATCAATGGTATTCGTCGTAATATATGTAATTGTCGTCTATCTATGAAATAAAATAAATTATTAATGATTAATCTTAAATAGAAGAAGATCAAAATACCTGATTGTGAGTAAATAATCCGTAGATTATGTAATTTCAATTGATACTTTGTATAAAATCGTAACTGTTGCGCTTCTTCCTATGTAAACAAAAGTAATTCTTTTTGTTTCTTTTACTTTCCAAAGCATTTAAACTAATATGACAATGCTTTATTATCAGAGTCTATATAGCAATCAATATGTGAATTCTTCTTTCTGTCTATTTGTAAGTCATATTTGACAAAATATTCTTAAATCAATGGTTATATCGAGCCACTTTTTTTATCGCTGATGTGAATTGAATAAAGCAAATAGATGGAATTTAATATTTTAAAGAAAAAAAAGATAGTGAGATTCTAATAAATTATACCTTGAATAGTGAATTAATATCATTTTTGTCATCATCTAAACATGAATTAAAGACCAAATTGTCCAAATCAATATGAATCATGGAAGAATGTCTATTAAGACAAATATATATTAAACAATTAGAAGATGTATTTACGTACTTATATAATATACCATTTTTTGGTAAAAGTAGTGAAATGCCTTTTAATTGTATTGTCATATCAAAAACTTTTTGTTGAGAAAGATCTTGTTCCATTTCTTCAATTGTTCTTTTTTTTATTCTATGTAATAAAAAGAAACATAGTGTTTTGTTCTAAAAAATTAATTCAATCAACAAACTTTGACAATGTCGACATGAGATTATCGTTATTGGGATCAAAACATTCAATAATTTTATTGATTGTCGGCTAGGAAATACATAGACAAAAAAAGAAAGAAATAGATAATAATTATTACCATTATAATCCTAAAGATTTCAAATTTAGGAAAACCAAATCTCTCAATTTTCAAGTATCGTCTCCTGATCTTTTGTATCATCAAATGTAGATTGAAACTGACTAAGTTCTACATAGCTATTTGCTTCAAATTATTCAACAGAATGTATGTTTACTCCAGAGTAGTATATATATCTGCCTACAGCTCGTAAGATATTTCGATATTTGAAATAATCTTAATCAACATTGTTAACTTACAGCATCATATGCAATTTTTAATGGTTCTAGAACTAAAAAGAGACGGTAATCAGATTTTTTATCAATTGGAGAAAATTCCAATTCGCTGTGTATCAATGGAAGAGATGATGTGGAAGCTGCTGTTAATAATAATGGTCGATGTTGATTATCAGTTTGCATACCAAATACAGAAAATGATTGAAGATCAATTACAAATCTAAATAATAATAAAAAAGAAAAATTAAAGAGAAATATATCTAAGTATTTGTACTACAAAATATTTGATGAAACAGTTCGTCGTTTGAAATCGAATTGAGCATTTATAATTTTAATTGGACAAAGAATTTCATTTTCTGTTGATTGAAATATTTGAGAAGTGTTATTCATCTTTGGTAATGATAAATTCAATAGAAGATTATTAACTTTAATTTCAACATCAATATTAGGCCACTATGATGAAAAATAGATTATTTAAATGATCATAGTAAAGAGAATAACTTACATCTTCAGAAAAAGAATCTCCACTAGTTGTAATAGAACTAGATGTTGATGATTTTCGTCGCTCTAATATAGTATAACATATGTGATATTAAAATTAATTAAAATATTCTATTTAAATAATGATATTCACCTTCTCTCGAATGACTTTTTGTTTGCCACCAAGAATTCCACCATTTATGATTGTTGGTAGAAGTAACTGTAGAATTCATTATTCGATTTGTTTTTATCGAATGACGATGATGATGATGATGGTGATGATGATAATGATTGTAGTGTCGATGATGAGTATGGTGATGTCCAACTTCTTTAGTTTTTAGAGTAGAATTTGTTTCTATTTCAACACTATGACGAATATAAGCCAAATTGAATACATCTAATTTTGTTTCGAGATACTTTTATATCAAAAACAACAGAATTATATTATGAATATATAATAAAAGAAAAAAGAATTACTTTTAGATGTTCTTTTTGTTCTAATGTCAATTCAGTAATATCTAATGCTTGTTGTAATTGTAATTCACGATATTCTCGACAACGATCTTTTATAAATAAAAATATAACAATAAGAATATAATGAATTTGATAATTTATTAAAAATTATTATACCATAAATTTTACTATAATTTTGAAATTTAATAAAATCAAGTAAATCAGAAAATTGTTTTGGATCAATATTAAGATTTAATTGTTCGATTTGAATATCAATATCATATGCTGGACGTTCAAAATTATATTCTCCCGGTTGTAATTTTATTATTAAATTGATAATAGGATTCATTGGATAAAGAACTATTTGAAATAAATATGATATCAATTAACAATAAGATTTATTTCAATGAGAATTCAACAATATACATACTGTAATTCATTTCGTCAGTTTTTGGTATATAATTATATGTGGCTATTTTAGATTTTAAGTCCTTCTAAAATATGATAGATTACATTTCAAATAATTATTTGAGAAAAGACTTGTGAAGTATTATTTTCATAAACAAAATTAAATAATAAATAGATATGACTTTATCTAGTTAGAAAATTTTTAAACTGCTATAATATCTGCTTTGCAGTGTTTTTTTATTATTTTGTTTTCTTATACATTGAAATATATTTATGTAACAGCTTTTTATTTTTATCTAATTAAACAACTATAGTTCCAATCATAATATTATTTTAATTTGAAGTTATATCACATTATACAAACCGTAATGACACACGAAGTTCATTTATGTTAGTGATAATATTTCTTCGTAAATACAAAAAACTGAAACACGTATAGAAATTTTGAAAGTTTTTCGCTTAGATGTATACGTCGATAAGCTGAAGCACTATGATTTTCAAGAAAAAAAAATATACAGTAGAGATTTTAAAGCTTTAGATCTTTAAGATGATTTTTCGAGAGTGTTTTTTTTTTGTCTGATTTTTTTTATAATTATATTCTCTATCGTTATTTTTCTTCTTTTCAATCTAAAAAAGTCTTCGGAATTAAAGAAGACTTTTAAGAAGTTTTACAAAAGCTTCAACCATTGCTGTCGAATAAAAAAAAGAAGGATTACTAAACTAAGCTCTTTATCACCGATCTATGCATCGACTTATTTCACTGCTTACGGCAACGGAAATGATAATCGAGAAAAATCGTCCCCGCAAGATATGAGAATCTCTATCCTTGCACAATTTCATCGACAAGAAAAGGATACTTCTAATTGCTCAACTTGAGAATGCATTGCATTACTACTGTGGAAGTATCTGCACTTATTTTAAGCATAATACTTTTTCAGATACTTTCGTAAAACCTCTTCTGGTATACGGAATGTAGCATATTCATTATTGTTTTAACTGATGTTTACAGCTAAAAATTTATGGTTGATATGACAAGCATATTAGATATAATGTCTTGTAGATAAATTAATATTACGTGAAATCTCTTCAGAATTCTATTCTCAATTGCTCAGATATGTATTGGCATTTAGATATCAAAATACTAACCACAACATCATCAAATGACATATCAATCCTTGATTTACATTTTGTATTCCAATAGAGTGAAAGTGTATGCATTTCTTTCATCTAGAATAATTCACATATAATTAATGAAATAAAGAAAATATAAATTTAACCTTGAATATTACAACTGTATTCTCTTTAATTCTTTCAATTGGTTGACGATTTGTTGTTGTCTAAACAATTATTTTTATTTTCATTCAAAGATTTATCATTATCTTTGAAAATCTTACAGTCATTTCGAGATAATGTATAGTAAGTCCAAACGAAAATGGATGTCCTAATTTTGTTGTTGATATTGTTTCATAGCTAATATGTAAATTTCGAATTGTTATCTCAAGATTCTGCATTATTTGTAATCTCATTCGTTCCATAAATGTTGTCTCTTTTTCATCAACTTTTTTATTATCTGAAATAGATTATTAAATAAAAAAGAAAACAAGAAATTTCAAAATACTAACTTAATCTTGCCTTTCTTAAATTATCAACTTTTCGTTGAACACGTTGCATTTTGTCATCATAATATTCAGTTAAGTCTCGACGAATTTCTACAACAATGAAAAACAGTTTTGAACGATATTTTTTTTTTTTGTATGGAAGACAAAGTTGAGAATAACTCAGTTTCTGAGTAATAGAATTGGAAAGCATCATTTTTTTGTGTTGAGGATCAATATTCATGTTGAAATCAATTCTGTAAATTAATCGTTAGTCTTATTTCGTTATCATCTACGTAGGAATATTAATTTTAAGTTTTGTTTAAAACTAATAGATTTTCAAGTTAGATAAAAATTTTCAATAAGTATTAAATATTCTTTGTCATTTATTATATTTAAGTTAATCAAGACTTGATATTTTGTTTTAATAGTTAAAAATTTTCATAATTGAATGTTATCTATAAATAATTATTTACTAATTCAAATCATGTATCAGAAAGTATCAAAAGCTTAAGCAATTACTATCAAGAGTATTTCATAAATTGCCATTCTTTTTCATATTTTTAGTCTAAAGGCAAATAAGTATTAAAGTTATATACATATATGCAAAGAGTAATATTTCAGATATTATTGGAAAGAAAAACATCAATCAAAGTATGTCAATAGTAAGAAAAAACCAAATTGGTAAATATTTTTAAAAAATTTATTTTTATTTTAAATATATATAAATCAACTGCTAAAATCTAGGTGCACATTAAAATCTACAATAATAGAATGATAAAAATAACTTGCACTAAATAATTGTGCAAAATGACTGCTATGTTGTGTTTTACTATAAATGTAGATTGTTTACATTTTCATTTTGTATAATAGCTTATGTATTACTATTTAAATATATGTACTTATTGATTGTCTGCTTTTGAATATTATAGAAATAGAAAAACAAATAAAGACAAGACTAAAATTTATGAAGCATTCTTTATTCATTCTTTTATTCGATTATTATTTTTTTTTTACTATTCTATCGTCACATGTAGTTTCCCTTTTATGTGTCGGATTATAGTAAGTATTCTCCTTTTCTTTCCTGTTGTTCGTTTGTTTAATAAGAATTTTTCTTTTTACTTATCTTAACTATGCCTGTCAGGTATTTCTAATCAATATTATAGCCAAACATGATTTTTATATAAAGATAAATATAAGTTTCAGATGAAAATAATTGTCTTCAGAGTTAATCTTTGAAAAGTAACGATCAAGTCAATTGTAAAAGTTTGCAAAATAGCAGTATACACATTATATGAATATAATTAACAAAATTATTCAAGCTTATGCTAGAAAGATTTTTGTAGTAGAGGTAAAATTTTTCTATCACCTAGTATCTCTTGAAAAAAAATGAGTCTTTTCTTTATCGTTTCAATTAATCATGAAACTCAAAATGTACTTGAACATGCACGACATGACATATGTTAAACGTGGAAAAAAATGCAGATGTCTTTAATATAAAGGGTAACAAATGAGAATCTCTCATTAAAAAAAATAAAATCTCTTTGTTATCATCACGCACTAACAATTTTACATGATTTCATTTCTTAAATTTACGAATCTTTGAATTAAAAAGAAAAAAAACTCACCATTTTCATATAAATCCCTATAGAGAAGAAAATCGCTTCACAAATTTTCAATCTAACATTGAATCTTAAAGTTTATGTATATCTATTAACAATAGTCTATTTTTTGAATATTCCAAAGATCTTTCTCTATCGGAAATAGTATATCACATATTATTCATTGATTTTATAACTAATGATACAAGCATGCTTTTTTTTTTACATAAATATTTCAGAAATTTATCTATTTGAACAAGAAAAATAACTGGCACTTAAGCCTATCATATGACGTATATTTGTCGAAGAATAGGAAAAAGAAAACATTGCTATTTTATATTCCATATGCTAAAGTCCACAAATGACGTTACTTTAGAAATAATAAAAACTATTTTTAATTTTTAAATTATTCATTTACCATTTTTTGGAACAATCAACATATAAAGTCCATTAATTTGAACTTTTGTTGGTATGCTATAAAGATTTTTCCATGGAATTATTAATGTCAATTTTTCTATAAAAAAAAAATAATTTTCTTGTTGGTATAATAAAATATAATAAAACTTACCGAGATAACCAATAGCTACAGTAACAGGAAGACTCAGATCGGTCTAAAATAGAATAACTATGAAATATATATATAATCAAATAAAAGAACTTACTAGAGATTCAGGTTTTAAATGAAGTTGTTCCAAACATACATGTCCTTTATAAAACAAAAAAAATAAAAGAAATCAATAAATCATATAATAAAATTTACCATTTTTAAGATCAAGTTTAACTTTTTCATAATCTAATTGTTCAATATAATCTTTTAAATATTTATTAATAATATAACGAATAAGATTTTTTAAAACCATTGTATTAAATTTTACTATGTAACTATATTTTATCGTTCTTCACAACAATTTTGTTTTTTTTTCTCTGCAGAAATAAATGTACATGATTGTCGATCTAAATGACGGCAGAACGAAAGAAAAAAAATTATTATCAATAGTGTTTTACTCGTCATACTTTTTTTTTTATTCTTTCTTCCCTTGACAACTTCTTTTTTTTTTTTTCGAAGGTTAACAAGTAACACAATACAATAAAGGAAAAGAAATAGCACAGGTAATGAGGTGTTATGTTAATAAATATCAAAAACAGATGTAATTATAATAATATTTTGTTTTTGCATTCGTTTAGAACAGAAAATCAAATTTATGACAAATATCAACAATGATAATTATTAAACGCTTTGTATAGTAAATCAACTATAATTGAAAACTAGAACATAATGAGATAAAAATAATAGAAATTCATATCAACTATTAATATTCGCATAGAAAATGATAGTTCCACACGGTATTTTCTATATATTGTTACTACAAAAAACATGTTTTAAAAAAATGATTACATATTTAAATAGTACTTAGAGTTTTCTATCACCTTGTATATTTATATTTTAGTTTGCATTTATATGCTATGCAATACAATAAAAATACTTTCATCATTAAATTCTAACAGATTGAATTTTGTCACTATCTTCAGAATTTGTTTTGTCAATGTCTTTAGCAATCTAGACATATATTTTTCTTAAAGAAGTAAATATATATCCTAATAGAGCTTGAAACTCTCTATCATCTTATATATTATTGTTTTATGTGCTGTATGGAATATTTGCAAGGCAAAACAAAAATGTATACGATGATAAAGAATTGCAGGCAGATTTCCAAACAAAGGAAATTTCTCTACCAAATGTACATATTTCGGACATCACAACTATACAGAATGCAAGCTTCAGAAAATATCGAAACTACCGTTATTACCACAATACTATTCAAAACCAACCATAGTCAAAATACAGAAACTTTCTGAAACTTTCGGAAATTACCTTCACATCAGAAAAGAAATTTCCAGGAAATTTTGATAATGCCTCATACTACAGAACGAAATTATCAGATAGTTCTCGTAAATACCAACTGTACAGACGGAAACTTCTTAGTAATTACGGAAATTTCTATAATTTCTTTTTATTTTATCATGTATATATATATATGACGACAGAGATATAGATTGAAAGAGCCCTACTTCCAAAAAAGAGAAGAATTTTTGGTAATTTCGGTAATTACCTAGAAATTTAAGTAATTACGGAAATTTCTAGAATTTCTTTATTTTAATAATACAGATATCATTAGATACATACGTATATATTCAAAGACTCTTACTTCAAGAAGGAGAAGAATTTTTGGTAATATTGGTAATTACCTGGAAATTTTAGCAATTACGGAAATTTTCGGGTAATGGTCCAAATTCTCGAAAATTCTTCTCCTTCTTGGAGGTAAGAGTCTTTGAATATATATGTATCTAATGATATCTATATTATTAAAATAAAGAAATTATAGAAATTTCCGTCTGTGGAGTTGGTATTTACGAGAACTATCTGATAATTTCGTTCTGTAGTATGAGGCATTATCAAAATTTCCTGAAAATTTCTTTTCTGATGTGAAGGTAATTTCCGAAATTTCCAGGAAATTTTTCTGACAAGTATTTAAACATTCGAAAATTTCGCGGAAAATTCTTTCACATAGAATGGTAATTGCAGAAATTTCTACAAATTTCCTCGTGACGCGTATATATGTCTAAGAATGTGTATCTATCGATAACAGAATACATTTTAACTGTTTAAATAAAATCGTATTTATGAAAATTCAGTCCTCACTCTCAACTGATCCACTATTCCATACCGTGTTCTCATTTTCATTTCACTCACTTCAATTTCATACATTTAATGATACAATATATGACTAGGAATGTATAAAGAAGCTGGAAAAAAATCTTGAAATTTACTGTCAACTTAGAAGCTGTCTAATGTTCATGAAGAAAAATATAACTATTCGTTTATTTTATTGATAGAAAAATTTCCTTAACAATCATATCTATGAAAAATAATATTTACTATTAAATAGTCTTGTTCAATGCAACTTTCCATGTATTTATAACGAAAGAACAACTATTTATAGCAAGAAAAAAAAACAAATCTGTATGACTCTTGCATTTCCACTTCGATAAATATTTTCATTATTCAAAAATCTCTTACCTCTCTCGACATTGGCAAAAGAAAAATAAAATGATTCATTATTCTTTTCTTTCAACTTTATGAATAATGCATCGATCAGAATGATTGCTCGAACAAGATATTGTCAACTTAAATAACATTTCCAAGCAGAAGCGTAAAATCAGTAACGAAGGTAGAAGGCTCACACTGGTTGAATCCCAGAAAATGAAGCAATATCATGGACAATTCTCAAAAGCAAGAGGAAACGTTGTGTAAACAAATTTCAGCTATAGGAGGATGAGTGCGGCATCATGACTCATGCGCCACCATAAGCTACGTTCCTGCTTCTAAGAGATTACTATCTTTAATAATCGTAGAAGAAAATGTTTTTCTTTTGAATATTGAAAAATAAGTAAAAATTTGCTGTAAAAATTTATCTTTATCTTTTCTTGAAAATAAAGATAAATAAAATGAAAAACAAAACTTATCTTTTGTAATGTCGACTGAAAACAACATTCATGTTTTTCATCAGCAATACTAAAGTATCTAATGTTATCAAAGAACTACAAAAGTCAGACATGATGATAAATAAAAAGAAACCACATATAAGTGTTCTTGTTTTATCTCAACGTCATCTTACTATTTACGATGAACTAAAATAAAAAAAAATAAAATATTATGAAAATCGAACAGCCTCATATCGTTATCTGAAAGTAACTGAAGTAAGTGGTAGATGGATGAAATTGAAAATAACTACAGTTAGCACATTGAGAATAATTCAAAAAATTCTTATTGATCTGAGGTCAAACAGAAGTAAGAAGTAAGTACTATTCAAAGATGGTGATGAGTATAATCTGATCAAGACATAACACTTCTTTGCGAAAGTATACTCAAAACAAAATCTTAACACACACTTAGATCAGAGAGAATGCCGAATGTCATACAAAAAATTTATTGGCTTGTTAATTTATTCAAAAAAATGTTAACAAGAACGGTTTAATCCTTAACTCTCCTTAATGATATCTACAGCTATCGTATTATTAAATCGATAACATTCCGTATGATAAAGTTCATCTATTTACAATCGTATTACTTCGTAATCTCCTTTGTATTGTACATTTTTCTATAAAAAAAAACAAGTTTTATTTTCCTTTTTTTTTTAGTCATTTTTATTTTCCAAGGTAAAACTAAATTAATATTATGAATAAAAATCCATCAAAAAGCTTCACGATTAAACTTATCATGAGCAAATACATGTACTATATTTACTTTTGCGTTCTGTATGCATACAATAATATATGATTCATTCGGTAGAAGAAAGTGTTTAATGTTTATTTCCAACACTAATAACTTAGCTGTTATCAATCTTTATTTTCCCAACAGACATAGGAATAAATGAATTCCAACATAATTTATATAAAAATATTGTTTTACATAGCAACATCTTTCTAATTTAAACTATACAACATCACGTCGATATGTCGAATAATAAAAATATTCAAATGAAAAGTTATAAAAATGAATCGTTACGCCAACGTTGTTTCTCTATTATTAGTAGAATAGAAAAACACAAAAAAAATCGTCATCAATTTCTACTTCCAATGATATCAAATGGTACTTTTACAAAGAAACGACATTCACTAAATGAAATAGACTTTATTCAAACAGCTCGTTTACGAAGTTATTCTAATTGGCCTCATTTTATTCCTAGTTGTGAAGTTATGTCATCGAATGGTTGGTTCTATTGTAATATTAGTGATCGAGTTATTTGTATATATTGTAAAACAATTTATCATAAATGGAGAAATACTGATGATCCTTATGAAGTTCATGCCAGACTTGCACCTAAATGTCCTTTTGTTTTATCAATACCATCGCCATCAAATGAACTCCCTCCATTAATTACTCATAATCTTCAAGGAAATTTTCAACCACGTCATACAACAATGTGTGAAATATCTCGACGACAAGAAACATTTAATAATAATACTTGGACACAAATTTCACTGAATGTTAATAATTTAACAGAAGCTGGATTTTTTTATTCTGGTGTTGGAAGTACGGTAACTTGTTTTTATTGTGGTGGATCATTACATAAATGGGGTATCAATGATAATCCAAAAATTGAACATGCTAGATGGTTTCCTAATTGTCTTTATGCTAAACATTTATGTGGTGATTATCTTCATGCTAAAATTCAAATGAAAAAAAAACAACTTATAATAGAAAAAAATAATATTGATAAAGAAAATCTTATGCGTCTTGTTAATGCAAGACTTGATCTACCTATTACTCAACGTCTTTGTACACAATATCGACCTTCTATTATTAAAAGATGTTTTGAACAACAATGGAAGATTAATCATGATGATTTTTCATCAGATGATGATTTAATAATGGCTTGTTTTATTCTTCAAAAACAATATGATGCTTGTCAAGAAAATTCGAATAATTTAATAATTCCTTCACAAAGCCAAATATCAATTAGTTCACTTAAAACATCAAAGATAAAATTAGAAGAGTGTAGTGTATGTCTTACGCAAGAAAGACAATTAGTTTGTATGCCTTGTGGACATTTATGTACTTGTGTACCTTGTGGATACAGTCTTCGTTCATGCCCTATATGTAGACAACAAATTCAATCATTTGTTCGAATTTATTCTTAGATTGTTTATTGAAAATCTTATCTAACTATTTTCAAACTATACAGTTGTGAATCAATGTTTCTTTTTCCTAAAAGTATTTGTAGAAAAATCATCTAAAATATTTCATGTCATAAAATGACATTAGAAAAATAAGATAAATCATATGAAAATAAATTGTTGATACATAATCTACACAGAATTATTTAAGAATTTCTAATCTTGTTTAAATAACATAATAATATGAGGAAAAAATCGTTTGAAAAATATGACTATTCAAATGAAGATAGAAATCATCGATCTGACTATATTAAATTAATGAAAAAATTCTTCGATTGATTAGTTTAAGGCTACTCTCTTCAAAAAACAAAAATGAAACTTGACATAAATGCATGAGACGATAATCCGGTGTCCAATGGTTCATAAACGACATGATCTTTTATTTGATATCTCAACTTTTATGGAAACATTCTTAGATGATTTCTGTTACCTTCTGTTTGAAAAATATACGTTTTTTGTGATATAGTGACAAATAATTCTCGTAATATTCCTTATCACTATGTTACCGTATGTGAGAATATCTCAGCTGTTGTATTTCTGCTCATTCACTAGGAATATTCTTTTTATTGTGTGGTATAATCCTTTCGTTTTATGGAAATATTCTTTAGGGTTGTTCTTGTTTATCTCTTTTAAGCTTTCTTACGATTATATATGTAAGTTTTGTTAATTTTGTACACATCAGTTCGGTTTTATTTAATAACACTAACCACAAAGTATATGAGAAGAACAACATAAAGACAATAGACAGAAAGAAAAGAATATATATACGTATGAAACACAAAAGAAAGAGATAAACCTATACATAGTGCAAGAAAATAGAGGGGAAAATATCACTGTAATACATCATATAATTTATAGGGAATAAGCCAATTTAGGATGTTTTTGCGTATATGAGACAAATTCCTAATAATATAAAAGTGTACTTTTATAATTAAAGTGCCAGTGTTCGAGACATCGAACTTTTCATCCTTTCTCTCCACTTAAAAAGTAAGAAAACAAAAGCGCTGTCATGTCCTGCACTCTGTCATGCTCTTTCAAACACAAAAAATTAAGTATATAAAATGGAAGCTCATAAAGAATTTTGGGTTGTCAAATCAGCTATTTTTGACCCTTGTTTGGTGAATATCTCCCGAAAACGTCATGGTGTATACCTAGAAACTTTACCGTAGTTTCTCCACTACAGTCATATAATCTGCTTTATGATTTCTTCAGGAAATGTTGATAAAAAAAACAACAAGCCTTATCCGAAAGAAATCCAAAATACGACTAAACCTCAACTTAAATCATACTTTATTTATGACATTTTCTTTTCTGTACGCCTTTTCTATACATTCAACTTTTGAGAAGGAGAAGGCGGAGTAGCCTTAATTATCTTTAATTTATATTAGTTTCCTCTACAAGCTATTCATAAACATGATGCTTTAAGAAATAAAGGAATGATAAAACTATTCTCTAGGTGAGACTTTTTCATGTTTATCAAAATAATAGAAGATGTATACAAATGATGACACTTTACAAGTTATTTACCATCTTGAAAATCAGTTACTCATCAAGAATAATTTTATTTCCAAGAAATTCTCTTTTGTAATATCAATATTAAAAAAAATGAATGTAATATTTCAGCTAGTCCGTATTTTTTCTTAAGTAAAATTGTTCGAAGATTTTCTTCCAAAATTAGACATAAGGTAATCCAAAATATTTATTAATTGAATTGTATTCTCATTGATTTTCATAGCGAGATTTCAATTTTTGAATTTCTTTTGCTGGATAGAGCTATTCTTTTAAATTATCTATACAAGCTAACTATTCAATAACATAAGCTACTGCTTTTATCATCTTTTCATATCATATGATTTATGATAACATGGATCTTGAGCAACATTTTGTATACAATAAGGATCATCAGCTGCTAAAAATGAAGCATAATCACTACCACTCCCTAGAGTAATATTATTCCAAGGTATTTTTTGACTATTTAACCAATCACACAATAATGATGTAACTTTATTACTATTAGGAATAGTATTTGCAAATGTTGAATTTGTAATTATTTGACCATCATATATTTCAAATACATAATTAGATGAACCTAACATATCGAAATTAAGATTTACTAAATTATCATTGATTCGTTCGCCGATGATAGTTGAAGTTTTTGCTTGTTTAATACAAAAATCTGAACCAAGAAGACCGATTTCTTCTACATCCTACCAACAAAATCGTACGTGATATTTAGATTTTGTATAGATAGATGTTTGAACGAGAGCTACGGCTAATGCAAGATTGGCTGCATTACCGCTATCTATGCAAAAACGAAAGAAAAAACAAATATTTCTTAATTGAATTTTATTTATTTCAATTCTAAAATTAACCATTATCATTAATATCAGATCCATCTGGTACACTATCACTATGACTACCGGTAACAATAGTTTGAGTGATATCTTCTGTTAGAGTATTAGCACAAATATTTCCCATTGAAAAATGATGATATCTCAAGTTCATTGATGATTATACGAACGTTTGTATTTGTTGCTGGATTTTGTAATGCATTGATGAGTTCTTAACAAGATTAAACGGAACAGAAAGTGTTGATAATTCATTACTTTGACTGAGACTAACAGTGATAGGATCAAACATGAAGATATTTAAAAACTCCTTGATGTATTCCATTTCATGGAACTTTTTGGGTTGTTCGTTTTCGTAAAACAAAAATACCTATTTTGATCTAGAGGTAACGGTGCTAGAGTCAAATTACTAGAAAATATCGAATTACTCCAAGGTTCTAGAACAATTTGACTATAGCAAAGTTATTAGTTAATGAAAATAGAAACGGAGATGATTAGCGAAGAAAACACTATAAAATGGAATATACCAAAAAGTTTTTGGGTATTTTGGTGTTTTTTATGACTAACTACTCATGGAAGTGATCGGAAAAAAAAACAGCCAAATTATGTATTCAAGTAGATCGTGCTAGATTTCAAACGTGTCAATAAACGTTTGAGTATCAATAAAAGCTTCGAACTTTCTTCTATGATCAAAAAAAGAATTAGTTGATTCAGTCAAAATATAGTGGAAATATACAATGGGTTTTTCTTTTGGTAGATGGTTTCCCCGATACCTTGTAGTTTACAATGAATGAAAACAGATAGATAACTAATGTGCATGAATAAAAAAATTCATAAAATATCAGCATTAATCAAATAAAATAAAAAAAGAATTGACCAAAGCACAAAAATCAATAAGAACATCTTCATACAACATCTCTGAATGAAAATTTTTGCAGAATAAAATTGTAAAGTATGATACTATTCTTTTTTTATTGTAAATGAAAAAGTTTTAAAACCATGTCTTTCGAATTATCATTTATTCTATTTCGCAATCAAAAGAAGATAATAATAGTACTGTATCAATAGATGATATAAATTCTAACAAAATATCGCAGATCGTGAATGCACGAGACATCTTTCCAATTCTATCGTATGTTTTTGCCAATATTCAAAATTTTTATAATGTATTCATCAAACAATGACTGTTACCATCGTTGAATTCAAAGTAAACTAGTCTTTTTTGTGCATATCTTTGTAATGCAAAAACGAGATTTCATCATTTGTGAATGAAGATATTCTTTGATATATTACAACCAGTACTTCAGTTTCTTATAAACTTTATTGATTTATTTTAACTTACTCTAAATTTGAATGAAATCCAGAACTCTTATTATTTTTTTTTCAAAAAAACAAAATCTACACTGTAACATTGTAATATTCAATGTAAATAAAAACAATGAAACTAAGAATAAGTTTATATTTGATCAAAATCTTGTATATAGTTTGATATATTCATATCATACAATTCGTGGTGCACAACAACAATAATTTTTGTGTGAAACCCAACATGTATAACCATCACCTTTGTTGCTTTCTAATGTTTTAACACATCCATCACCACATGAATTACCAAGAAAACAAAATGGAGCGATACCATGCCATTTGCATAATGCATTGGTGGATTTTGGAACAATTGTTAAAAGTAGAAGAAAAATAAGAGTTGTTGTTATTTTTAATGAAACCATTGTTAATCTTAAAAATAATCTATTATATAAAAAAAAAAATCTATACATTTTATTACAAAAAAACTCACGCAAAATCAATGTATAGTTTGATGTGTTTTTAATATAGAAATGAAGAAGAAAAGGAAGAGGATGTGTAAATTAATAGTATATATATATATGTTCGTTATTTTCTTTCTTCAGCTTGTCATATATATCATGAATATTCTAACAGTATTGCGTCGTAGATTAACTATGTACCTCGAAGAATACCATAGATAATATGTTCTAGTAACTGATGATAGATATGGTTGCAAAAAACGCTAAAGAAATATATATTTAGCATTGATAAGAAAAGGAAAGAATGATTTCACGTAGTCACAATTAGAGAAAAAAGTTCGAGATTGAAAATGAAACATAATTCTATGAGAAAAAAAAATATCATATCTTTTTCTTATATACAAATTATAATATGAACTAACAATCCTAGAGAAAAAATTTTCATCATGCCCTTTTCTATCCACTTATTAGATCATATTTATTTCTTATCATCATAGATAATTTTTATAAATTATTCGAGAAGAATCAACATGTACGAATAATATCTTTAATAGTTCCTAATGTTTAAAAATATACATCAAGGATGTTTATTATTAATAAAACAAAATGAATCTGTACAATGTCACGTGCATCATGGCTTAGAACGGATATGGAAACAAGTGTTAAAACAAAAATTTGTCATATCATGATAGTACATTTATGCATTATATCATAGCTATTCTTGTTTTTGATACAGAGATCACAGCTGGTAGATCTGTCCATAGTAATACTAGATGAGACAAATAGACAGTTAATGGATCTGTTCATTGATTCTCATCGTTTATAATTAAAGAATAGTTTATTATAGTAAAAGAGCGAATGGATTGAATAAATAAAGGAAAGAAGGTAATAATTATCAATTGATTTATTTCCATGGAAATGGAAAAAACGAAACCTTTTTATCGTTCAGTTGAACGATAAAATTTCTTCTTTCTTTTGTCACATTTTCTTCATGAACAATTATTTAAATTAATCATGTCCAACGATGCTAAAATAATCCTTACAAAAAAATTTGTTAATTCAAGTCTGTCTTTTATAAAAAAGAATTAAAATGATTTATCTCTTTCTTTTATTTTGTATCGTTACTTTTTCTTCTATAATCTTGATGGAAATAAATTGACTACATAACTAAAACTAGAATGTTACACAAATGCAACGTTAAATAATTTAAAAGATTACAAAAAATTCAAACTTTTAGTCAGTCTAATTCAGTCTGCAAGCCCAAAAAATGGCTTGTAAACAACAATGATATCAATATCCTATACGAATATACAGAATACCTAAAAAACCAAGATTTCTCATCTATTCTAAAGTATATAAAGTCGCTCGAAAACATTTATTTATACAATTTCTAAAAGAGAGTATATCTCCTAATCTTTTTGGTGATAGAAGCAAAATTTACAGATAACTCATATAACTGAAATATCAGTCATTATGAGAAAAAATAAGTTTTTTTTTCTTACGTGAAATTCCCTTGACAAAAAAAACAAAGTTTTTTTTAAGCAAGAATTAAGATCAATAAAACAATTATATTCTTCATTACATCATATTATTGATCAAATAAGACATTCACATACTAATATCATCTTATGAAACTTTGAATTGCATTCTATTTAAAAACTCTACTAAAATAATCTGTTATTAATTGATGACAAGAAAATTACGAAATAAAAAAAACAATATCATTCAATTTTAATACAATCACTACATCTTTTATTAATAACAACACATACCAGAGAATAACTATTTGACTACAGAGCAAGAAACATAAGAATAGAAAATGAATAGTTGTCATTTAGAATTTACAAAACTATTGATAATGGAATCAATGGTTTTTTTAGCACAACAACAATAATTTTTCATACCAAACCAACATTTTTTACCATCACCACGATCATTAGCTGTTACGTGCCAACAATCTGTTGGACATGAATTACCAAAAAAACAAAATGGAGATCTTCCATACCATTTACATAATGGTTCTATTGATGCCAATGATGATAACACAAAAGAAAGAAGAATAATACAAGAAAAAAAACGTCCGTTAAACATGATGATAGAAGATATGATAACGTTAGATGCAATTAATTGCTGTATATATATACGTAGAGAAAAGAATAGATTAGTGTTTGACCGATTGCTGGTCAGACATTGTGTTATTATATTCTTTGAAAAAGTAAACGAAATAGTGTCCAATCGCTGAATAGACGGATTTGTTATTAATATTCATTGGTTAACATTTTTGATATCAGAGTTCATCTGCAGTTTAGTGACACCTTCGTTCACATACGATCAGTACAATTCATACAACAATCAATATGAGGATGTCACTAAACTGCAGTTGTATCGACACTATGATAATTCATATTAAGTGATGAATAATTCAATAAGAAATATTGATGATTATTAACATATAATATCTACTTCAATACGTTGGAAAATTGTGCAATAGAAAATGAATAATATTTTAATTGATAAAATTAAATAATGGTCAATTTTCACTTGATGTCGGAATATATTTCAAAGTCAATCGAACTTCTTCATAACGATACTCAAACATTATTGAAACCTAATCGATCTCATCGTAAATCAATAGATAAAAAAAATGACTTTTCAATGACAAATCTATTGAAAAATGATGAACATTTAAAAAGTGACAAGAAAATATACATGAATCTTTATAAAATCTTTCTGAACAGATAAATTTATGCACACAATGATATTGTTAGATTTGAATCTCAGACTTAATAGATTCCGATTTAGGCGAATAATCAATATCATCAATAGTAAATGTATATGGAAAAGTATAAAGACAAATATTATTTATATTCTTGCCAATTGAATGTTAATGATATTGAATAAACTATTAATATTCTTCATCAAAGTGAAAACTAAAATGTTGTCATTTTGAATTGAAATATTTCTAATTTAGATAAATATTTATTATTGAGTTTTGTGAACATACATTAGAAAATTTTATTTAAATTATCGATGTTATAGTTGATAATCATTATTTGAGTCATAGATATATGCAATTGAAAATTAATGACGATGCAATGTATTTAGGAAGTGATAATCGAAATTTTTTTGACTTTAGAAGAGCTATCAAGATTTAATTGATTATTTTAATAATTTGAACAATAATATTTCTCTAATCTAAGATGAGATAGATAATATCAAATAGATATAATTTTAAACATTGTTTATCTAGAATAGATATGAGATAATGATAATAATCGTAAATGCCTAAATTTTACTAGGTGAAGATAACATACTTTTGTACTGAAAATTTATTTAGATTACTTTAAAAAGTATTTTAAACTACTTCAAGGTTTCTAAGAAATTTAGTATTCACCAACTTCAGTTAACCGGATATTCATTCGACTAGTCAGATTGCGACTGGTATATACCTTTAAAAACTCATTGTACAGAAGAGAAAAAAAAATGATACAACTTTTGGTAGTACCTATATGTACTTTGGACTACTTTTGTATTTCGACTTAATTTTTGATCTGAAGTACGCTATTTTCTCCTAGCGAAAAATTCATTCATATGTCACTATATGATCTTCGAATTGAATTCCTTCCAATTTCAATCAACCTCTCAAGTATTGTTACAATCTACTTTCAGGCAGTTGTAAATTGTTTTTTTATTTTATCAAATTGAATATTATCTAAAAAAGTTTCAATTATGTCAGACAATAGTCAACGTTCGAATCAATCAAAAAGACCTGCGAATCAAATATTCATAGTTCATTGCAATTTTCGAAAACCTTCTTATAAAGTATTGATAGGTGATTGATCTGAAATCAATTTTCGAATTAATGTCATAATTTGATTCAATTTTTCATAGTCAAAAACTTTTCCTATGTTTACTTTTCTTGAATTTGATTTTTTTCTACAATTTTTAAATAACAAGATACTGTTTGGCTCATCAGAAACAAGAGATGCTACCACATAGAAGTGAATTCGCCAACAAAAAACTTAAATGGATCCCTTCTATCTTACGATGTTTCTAGAGAATGACTCATCCTAATAGTATGGAATTTTTAAGACAGGTAGGTCTTGACAAGTAGAGTAGAAGTTGTTACAGATTCAAACTTTCCAGATGCTGTTTTCTATGAGATACTGAGATCACAATGATGAAAAATGAACCTAATTTTTGCCTCCTCCCCTCGTTTTTCCACAATACTATATTCGATTGAGTTGAAAATATTTTTTACAGACACTAGACACTGTTGTGAGTGGACATCTTTTTTGATTTTATTTGTTCTTCGAATAAAAAAGCCAAAATATCGATAGTATCCTAAACAATACTCAGCATTTTTTTTTCATGAAAAAATTAGTTTGAGAAAAACACAATTCGTTATTTCCGTTACGTAAATTTGATTTCTTCTTGAATTTTTTAACGTTTAAAGACTATTTTTAGATTCCAACATGTACTCAATAGATAGATACTATTTCAGATTATATAATGGTCACCAAAATAAAAAAGAAAACAAAAATTTTGAATCACAAAAGGGAGACTATCCATAACTGGAAGTTGATAGCATAGACTGCTCTGCCTTCAAACTGTTGACGGTTATTTTCAATAAAACACGATAAGAAATCGCAGCATAACACTGCGACAAAAAAAAAAGACCACGATAGAATTTTATTAATGAAAAAAAAGGGTCTCTGATGTAATAGTGTGTTCTTTTACTTAAGTTGATATCACATTAAGAAAACTATTTTCTTTTTATCTTGATTGTGTACATCTACTTCTTTTACTTACTTTTGCCATCAACGTAAACTACAGATAAACATTTTATGGGTTCTACAAAACGACAACAAAATTTATGTACAATATGTGGTACAATGGTTGGTGTTTTCTCATGTCATGGATGTAACAAAAATTTTTGTTTAATTCATACAAGTGAACATCGAGATTTTCTTCAAAAATCTATGAATGAAATTAGTAATAATTGTGATTTGTTAAAAGATAGTGTTCAAGGACATAAAGGAGAACAACATCAAATTTCAATAATGGAACAAATTGAACAATGGGAACAACAATCAATAGATAAAATTCGTCGATTAGCTGATGATGTTCGACAACAAATATCAACTATTATTCGAGATCGTACAGATAATTTCAAAGAAAAATTAGGAGAATTACAACAACAATTAGAAATAGCTCGTCAAGATGGTGGTTTTTATGAAAATGATTTAACAGAATGGACACGAAGATTTGATGAATTACAACGTATTGTTGCTCAACAACAAACAATTAAAATTGAGGAAGATATTGGTTCAACTTCATTTATTTCAAGAATTTCAGTAAATGATATATCAAGTATTTCATTTCGAAAGAATGTTCCATTGAAAAATCATGATCAAAATGATATTGAAAAAAAATATGACGATTATACAGATAATCACAATCAATATTCATATTCAAAAGGAAGCCATTCAATTCGATTTAAGATTCATGAATATGAACCGAATAGTTCGATTATATTTGGAATTGTATCAAAACAAAAATCTATTAATTCATCTACATGTGAAAATCCAACATTTTATGGATGGACAGAAAATAATCTTGTTTATTTTGGTGGTGATTCACAACCAAATTATCATGGATATAAAAGTGATTTTCAACTAGGTGATATATATGAATTAATTATTGATTGTAAACGAAAAAAGATTCAATTAAGAAAGGAACGAACAGATATTTCGTATGATTTAGAAGTTGATACAACAAAATGTCCATTTCCATGGCAACCCAATGTTCGTATTTTAAACAATCTTGAATGAACAAGTAATAATGCATTGAAAATATTTTATGCGATTTTATTTGTAATTTAATTAAGTGTAATTGTTTTTTTTTTAAATATTTTTTTATTATTATTAAGAACAAGTTTTCGAGACTTATTCAATGTCAAATTTTGTTAGTTGTTTATTAAAATAATCATATAGATTCATTGTGGTTTTTATCCGTCTTTGTCAACTTTAATCGAACCTGTTGCTTTTTTTTGATATGTTATCTTTCTCTTTTTTTTTTCATTCTTGATGAAGTTTAACCATCAGTATTTTATTTTACAAGCATGAATAATATCTTGAAGAATAAACAAAAAAATTTTTGCTTTTTTCCAAAATTTATAGATTCTTAAAAGATTTTGAAGATGATAATTTAAGTTAATGACGCTTATGCAACTATCCTAAACATATTGTTTTTTTATCTGTTGTATATTACATCTAACTAATATTATATTTTTTAATGAAAATTGTTAAAAGTATATAATTAAATAATAAATCAGATCTTTATATACCAATGCATGTCAAATTGGAAAAATTCAAACAACAATGATGGTCATTCAATATAATTAAATATTTTGAAATAGTGTTTTTATTATAAAATCTGTATCGACTACCCTAGTGGAAATACGAAATTTTGGATACTTGTGTACTGTGACAATTTTCAATAGGATGTCCATATATATACCTTGCTTCTATTACTTACAATATCTTAATCGGTCACTCTGCTGAAAATCTTTCAAGTAGAAGGACACTTGCATAACTTTAAAAACTCTGTAATTAAATAAATCTCAGCAGTGTAGCCGATTAAACATCTAAAAGAATTTTATAATCATGCGTTCTACTAACCATAATAATGTACTCAAGTGCTGATAATTATCTGTGAGATACTGATTGTAGAATACTTTTCTGGAGTAATAAGGTATCCAGAACTCAATATTCACATAAGAATGATTGTCAAATTGTATAACAACTATTAAAATATTCTAATAAATTAATATTCAAATGATTAGCTCATGTATTTACACGCAGATGATATTTACTTTCACCAACATCATTTATCTGTCCTTAAAAAAAGAATATCTAAGATAACTACATAGGAATGAACTGAAACTGGTTTTATTGACAATAGATCATTTCGATTTCTTTTTTTTTCATGAAAAGAAATAGTGCAAAACTAATCTTAATTAATATTATAGATATGAATTTAACGATAAAACTTAATGAAATTCCTACAATTCTTTAAAAAACTCATCACATTCGAGTACTTTGTCATTCATCAAGTTTACATTTTTCTTCAAAGATAAACTCGAGTAGAGTTTTGAAGAGAGTAAAATGACCTTGAAGGTGCACACTAGAATAAAAACATGATATCTAAACAACAGTTTTCGCCACATATGTGTAATATCAGCAAGAAGTATATAGAGTACATTTGTTTCAGTTTTAATATATTCTTAGAAGACTAGAAAATCCATTAGACATACATGAATAGATCCAAGTATTTGACGAATATTCACTAAAAAGTTATCAAATATTCGAAAAAGATAAAATTAAAGAGTCCTTATTAACACTGAATTGTATTTTAAATCACTAACTGTACTTTTTTTTTGTTCTTAACAATGTTTTAAAAAATTTCTTGTGATAAGATCTGTATATTGATCTTTTCTTTTTTAATAATACTTCTATTAAACTCATGTGGTGATGCTAGTACTCTTGATAATCAACTCGTCTATTTCAAAGCATCTGTTGGTCAAAGCTAATATTTCCATGGCATGTATTTAATACATAGAAATATTATAATAAGGTTGATTTTTACTAAACTGAAACGATTCTTGAAAAAAGTTTTTTTTCTATTGTCGAATTTTTGTAAATGTTCTCTAGTGTTTTTCCAGACACTTTCCAATGATATTACTTAGGAAGTTTGAGTTTTTGTCATTTTGATAGACTCATCTGAGTGTCATGTCTATAGAATTTGGCGATTGTCTAATAATTTGCATAATTCCCGATTCTACATAGTACGACATATCTTAATGAATATGTAGTTTGACATTGTTGTAATTAAGCTTCATGGATGCTGGTCTTTTATTCTGAATTTCATCGATAAGAAGTTTCCCAGCTATTATCGATATAATAGTGAGTAACCGATGGTTTGCCCTTGTTCAACATGATAGATTAGCATGACATCAGTTACTTTGAACAAAGATAAAAAAAACAGAGTTTTTCGAATGAACCGCATGCATCGAACAGCAGTGAGTGAAGCTTCGCTGATTGATGTTCCAGCAGCATTCGATGATTTTTGACTAATCTATTTATAGTGAGACTATGATTCATCATCTATTACTGTGTTGCATGATCATCATATTTCTTGCTGAAATTTCGTCAAATTTTTTTTTTTTTGACAAATTCAAACTCGTTCGACTCGTTGGTTATCAGTCAGCCAATTAAGCATTCATCGGGCTGTAATTTTCGTCAACTTCATATGTTTGGAAATAAATTAACTCAATGCTACTGTAACTCATGTCGGTTTTCACTTGCAGTTCTTTCTGTGCTTTAATATAATATGAATCTTATTACTTTTAGTATATACTAAATGTAGTGATTTCAACACATTTGTTTTTCTTTTAATGAAATATTTATGGTTCTTCTCGAAGAAAGATCATACGACGCTTCTTTAGACATATAAACTTGACAAAAGCAGCACATATTACATTTCTTCGATACGAAGATAAGAGTCATTCTCCGAAATCTAGTTGCTAAATTTCTTTGGTTAATGGTTTTTACACTCACGCGAGAAGCTTTCCAGATGTCCAAGATTATTGAACTTTTAATGTATTTATTCTCAAGAGATCCTCGTAGGACATCAAGTTTTTGAAAACATGATCTTTTCTTAATTTTGTCTCTAAAACTTCTCAACTTAAAGGTTTCATATACATTGGCTTGTACAAAAGAGTTTCAAAAGTTTTAGACTTCGTATTTTTGACTGATGAACTATCCAAAAATAGATATTTTTTCCATGGATTTTGCAGAATACGAGGATATTTTGGAAAGTTCGAATATTGGAGGTATGAAGTCTAAAGACTCTGAGACTCTTTGTACTAGCTACAATATGTAGGACCTTTAAGTGGAAATCATTTTGGTACAACATTCGAAAAGACAATTTTTCCAAAAACATGGAGTCCTACAAGAAATTCTTGAGGATAGACATAGTAAAAATACAATAATTTTGCATATCTCAATAGAAGCGTATATTTTGTCAGGATTTATATTAAAATACTATGTAGCAGTTGTAGGAAAATAATAATAGTCAAAATCAGAAAAGGACCATCTGGGAAGGCTTCCTCATTAGGTTTTTTGAAACCATCAAGTGTTTTATGAAAACAAAAACCCACGTATAAGTTTAATCTCTAAAAGAAAATATCCATGTGCTAAGACAAATTAAGTCCACACGTACGAAATTTTTATTGTTTACTCTTTTCCAAGAGTAAAAACTGACTTCATTAGAGAAATACACACGAACGAAAAAGAATATCAAACAAAAAAATTTAGTATTTTGAAATAAAATTATTTTATTATGTTGATAAAAGTAATGAAATCTACTTTCAAGATGTTTCACCAAAGAAAACTAATCGGCTTATTTAGATCATTTTTAAACCGAAACAAATCCGTTGGAATCGGCCTATTTACCTATGTCAAATGATTCTAACCGGTTACAAATCAACTTTACAGACATCCTTTTCATTCAACATAGATATCAAACAATTGAATACTTGTAAACATACTAATGCATACTTTCCATTCTTTTAGTAATCATCCAACTTCATTTGAGTATCTATAGTATCTTTAAAAAATTAAGATAAAAAAAAGTCTCGAAATATTACATTACAAACACACACACCTTTAATACATTTTGTCCTTTTACTTAAGTTGATATTAAACTAAGATAACCATTATTCACCTTGTGCATGCATACTTATACTTTTTTTTATTTGATATACGTTGACTATCTTACATAAAAGTTTAATGGCTTCTTTCAAGCGACAAAATATCTCTTGTGCAACATGTGGTAAAACAGCAGGTATATTTACATGTCGTGGATGTTCAGAAAATTTTTGTTTACCTCATACAAATGAGCATAGAGAATTCCTTGAAAAACAAATGAATGACATTATTCTCATCCATAATCAATTAAAACAAGCTATAACAGGACAAACAACTGAACAATTTCATCAATCACTTATACAACAAATTGAACGATGGGAACAACAATCAATAGATAAAATTCGTCGATTAGCTGATGATACTCGACAACAACTATCAAGTATTGTTCAAGATCGTACAGAGAATATTAAAGAAAAAATAGCACAACTTACACCACAATTAAATAAAGCACGTCATGATGGAGAATTTTTTGAAAGTGATATAAAAGAATGGTCAGAAAAACTTAATAAATTTCAACAACTTCTTACTAAACAACAACGAATTAAAATTCATCATGATAAAAATTCAACTCCATTTATTTCAAAAATTTCGCTTCATGATTTATCTAATGATAATCCTGTACAAGCAATAAATGAGACTCAATATGAAACTAATCATGATGATAGTATTGAAGATGAATATGAAGATTATTCAAATTTAAAAGAAAAAGGTGAATATTCATCAGGTGAACATTCAATTCGATTTAAGATTGATCAATATGAACCGAATAGTGCGATTTTATTTGGAATCGTATCAAAAAATATTTTTCACGGTACAAATCCATATGAAAATCCAACACTTTATGGATGGACAGGAGACAATGTTGTTTATCGAGGTGGTGATCCCCAACTTAATTATCGTGGATATAAAAGTGATATACAAACAGGTGATATATTTATGTTTACTATGGATTGTGATAGAGAATTAATTAGTTTAACCAATGAACGAACACGTCGAAAATATGATTTAGAAGTTGACACTGCGAAATGTCCATTTCCATGGCAACCAAATGTTCGTTTTTT